CTATCCGCCCGCCTCGGCCTCCCAAAGTGCTGAGATTACAGGTGTGAGCCACAGCACCCGGCCACACACACAGATTTATTGTTTATTTTTTCTTCTGTGCTGAGTTAATATATTCCCTCGATAGTCAAAATATAAATTTATGTGGTTGGGAGTGGCGTGGACATTTACACTTGGGCTTTAATAAACACACTTTGATGTCGACCTCCAGGGCCACTTTATCATTTGCCTGGATTTGAAGAGGAGACACAGGACATTGCTGGATTCAGATGAACAGCTCCAATCTCCAATCTCTCACCCCTCTCCTTGAATTGCTAGGACGGTGGGAAGAAGGAGCACAGAGAAAAGTTCCCCTTCTGCCTTTACATCTGTGCCAGAGACTTCCCAAAGCACTTCTCAATCTGTTCTCTCCTGTGTGTTCCTCTCGCACACCTGCCTGCCGGGTGCTGCTGCAGCATCAGCGGCTCCAGTGGCTGGTCTGCTGCAGATGGACCCGGCACAGCAGCTCCTGTTCCTCTGAGTTCCCGTGGCCAGAGGCAAGGAGAGAAAAGCCAAGGTTAGAGGTGGGGACAGAAGATTGGCTCTGGATCCTCCAACAGAAGTTGGGTGTTGCGGGGAGGGCAACTGCTTTTGTCTGGTTATCTTGGCTTCTACTTGGAGAAGTGCAGAATTCTTCAGTTGTCAACGTTGTTACTATAACATTTGCATCTTGGGATACTGTGGCTAGGACTCAGGTGCTATCTAGGAATCAAAGGAAGCCACGTCCTCCCCTCTTTTCAGTCCCTGGGTCACTGGATGCTTTCCACTACACCCTTAGTCGTAAGTGCCATCAGTAACACACATGGTGTGTTAATAGCTATTGAACGCTGCCAGTGTGGGGGCGCTAGACTATGCACCCTGTATGTATCATGGTATTTCATTTAATTACACCAGCATTTTAAGGCAGGCATTGCTATCCTTGCTTTGCAGCTGAGGAAATCCAGGTCCTCAAGGCCAGTAAGTAGTAGAGTCAGGATTTAATCCCAGGGTGGCCTGGCTGCGAAGCCCCTGCCGCACTGTCTCCCACCAGGTACAGAACACCACGTTAGCAGTGGGCCGAGCAGAGCAGCTCTTTGTATCACAGGCCTGTCTTCGGACCCTGTTAGGTCATAAATTGGTGGAGAGTACAGACCATGCCTTCTAATTGTTTTATGACACAGTCTCATTACCTGTGAAAAACAGAGCTAATCTTTCTGTTTATTCTCCAGTGAGGCAAACCAAATAATGTCCATGTGAGCCTTTGAAGCACGGGGAAGAAAGTGGGATTAGGGCCTCTGGAACGAAGAAGAGCCATGCGGCTCCTCGGGAAGCCCACCCTCTGCCTTCTCAGTGCCCCATTAGAGCTCGCTCAGTTCTTCCGCAGATTCCTCCTGGTGTTCGGTGCCGGATAAACAGTCTCTCAAATTTCTTACATGTTATGAGGCATTGCAGATGACTCTGTATAATCAAATGTGCCATTCCACATCTCATTTGTAATTTCACAATTTAGCTCTCTGCACCATTTAAGCACATATAGAGCCTCCAGAGAAATCCTTATTTTTTTGCTAAAGCTTTTATATGTGAGTTTTGTGCTGATTTTGGTCTTTGCTGTATCTAATAAGATTCTCCCAAAGTTTTCTCACCACGAAAGGCTTTATAAAATTTAAGGAACCATGGAAATAAACCCCGGCCTGTTACGAATCAAGTAGGCCAAGGAAGTATCAGGTAAGAGGCCCCAGATTAGAAGCTGAATGTTCATTTCCTCTTGTGTCTATTGTCCTATTCCCTCTGCTTCATTTTTTTCTCTGATCATGTTTAATAATTTTGGAGCAATTTGTAACCAGCTCCCCCCAAACACTTATTTATAACTTATAATTATCATCAATAGTAGTAATGTTTATTTTTTCAGCATGGCTTAGAGTTTATAAAATGTCAATATTACTTCTGATGATTAGCATAATAACTGTGATGGGCAGGGATCAGATTTATCAATGGAGGCACTGAGTCTTGAGGATGTTAAAGACCTCACCCACCTTCATGTCCTGAGAAAGTATTAGACTCAGCATTTCAGAATCAAGTCTTGAGAATCTAGTTCAAGCAACATCATGCAACCTGTCTGCTTGTTTATTAGCTTCTACAAAGCATTTTCAGGCAGACAGTATAAGGCGCCATGGAAAACTGGGCTGCATTTCATGGACTAGAAAGATTTACATGAGAAGTGTTCCCAGGCAGAAGGATGAGAGGCACAAAGAACGGGTGAGAAACAATGGTCTGAAACAGCCAGTACATGGGCTCATTAACCTCTTCTAAACAATCGCTCATCTCTCCTAGCTCCCTGCTGACCAGAAATAAGTCAGAGGGGAATTTGTGTGGTAAACTTTCACCTACAGGGACCTGATCTCTGGAGAGAAAAAGACATCACCAGTGGACAGAGTTTGCTTTCTGTGCTGAGTCATGGGGGTAGTTCTTCTTTCTTGGAATAATTGGGAATCATACTCCTGGGGAAAATACCTGTGTCCCCAGCAGTGTTGCTTAAATGACATGAATGCCAAGGGCAATGTATCTCCTGTTAAAATGTCTAACTTTCTAATGGCCTTTTCCAACTCACTTAGCATTCATTTATCACATTCTCATGTTACTCACTCAGTAATAATAAAATAATAATAATAATAATAAATAATGCTCTGGAGCAGAGTCAGGGAAAGTTGGGACATAGCCCTGCAGGTTAATAGTAAACCATTTAAAAAGAGGAGGAAAAGTACCCAAGCAGGGGTAGTGGCGGAAGCATTGTGTGAAGACCCCGAAGTAGTCAAAAACATAACAGATTCTCAGCAATTTAGAAGATGGAAGTCCCAGGACTTACAAGTTGGTTGACCTGGCAGAGGATGAGGGAGGGACGAGCGCCAATGGCTCCCAGGGGTCTGGCAAAGCAGCTGCATGGGCCACTGAGTCATTTCACAAGGTGGGGGATGAAAAAGTGAGTTCTTTCTTTCCTTCTTGCTTTCCTTTCTTCTCTTTGTTCTTTCAGGCTTGCTGATCGGGGCCGCTGAGAACATGTCGAATTTGATGTGTCCGTGGATATTTGAGTCTGGAACATTGAAGACAGGTTTGGTCTGGAGATGTAGACTGCGGATATCTCAGCACACAGATGATCACTGAAACGATGGAGCGGATGATATCACCTGGAGAGAGTCTAGTGTGGGAAGATTCTTCCCTGAGGTGGTTGAAGGATGTACTTCTTACTCCAAAGACTGAAATAGAGACAAGAGAAACTGAAGTTTCAGGGTTTTGTCACTGGGAAGGCAGGAGAGTGTGTCATATCCCAAGAGTAAAGCAAGGACAAACCAAAGAACAACTGGGAAGATCTGAGAGAGAAAGGGTGAGGGCAGTGGCTAGGAGAAGTGAGAGAAGGTTATGTGAGGAGCAAAAAAACTGGGAGGACTGAGTGGCTCTGGATATTGTCCTTAAAGAAGCTCCACACTCGAGAGGCCCTTTCACATGATGGCTGATGTGTGCTTGGAAGGTGGTCGTGGGAATTTGAAAGGGAGTATTGGGCTGGGCGCTATTATTCCTAACATTACCATGTGATCCTTGTGAGGCTAGCTTACATGCAAAAGACCTTCAGATTTGTGCTTTGTTGAGCACATTGTGTCCTGCCTTAGTTTCCCCAAGGTCCTCATTTTTTTATTTTTCTTTTTTTGAAGAGACAGGGTCTTACTTTGTTGCCAAGGCTGACTTCAAACTCCTGACTTCAAGAGATCCTCCCACCCCTCCCACCCAAAGTGCTGGGATTACAGGCATGTGCCACTATGCCTAGCAGGTCATCAGTCTTTGGGATGCTGTTGACAAAGCCATTTCATGATATCAAAGAGGGAATGAAGCAGAAGGTTTTTTGGCCCTTCTGCTTGGGATGCCACTTGCAGACAGAACTCTCCACAGGTTTACCATCCAGTGAAGGATCACCTGTTTATAGCCTGTGTAAAGTCAATGATGATTCTTGGAAACAATTCCATTCTCATATACATCTTGACGTTTCATGGCTGAGTCATTTGTCAGAGTGCTCTGGCTTCAAATATACCTTCAAGTCTTAAGACATGAACTTTTGAGGTGCAGGAATCAGCAATTCTAAAAGTCACAGGTCTTCCATCCAATGTCCTGGTTGCCTTCTAGATCCTGTTCTAACAAACGTATCTCCAAATCTCAGTTGCTTAACCTCATACAAGTTTATGTGCTGAGAACATCAAGATGAAGGTATGGTCCATGAACTAGCAGCATTGGCATTACCTGGGAGCTTGTTAGATAGAATTCAGAATCTCAGACCCGCCTCAGACCTACTGAATCAGAATTTCATTTTAACAAGATCTCCAAGTGGTGTGTAAGCACATTAAAATTTTGGAAGTGCTGCCCTAGATTACCAAAGTATCCTTGATGGTTCTCATAGCTGAGGGATAAAAGGAAATCAGACACAATGAAATAGAAATAGGAGAAAACAAACAGAGGCAGTTCAACCTGCTGGCAAATCTTGAATTATGCCAAACTATGTAAAGTCTATGCCTGAAATCTCAGCATACGAGTGCCTAGGGCATGAGCTATTGGAGCCAGCCTTGGCTCATGACCAGTGCATTGTTCAGTTAGATGGTCCTTCTCCTTCTATGCTTGATTACCTGGGGGACAGATGCCAGGGCAGGCTGATTTCCATTTCATCAGCTTACCTCTTTGCCATTACTGCCTGGGTGTGCAGGTGGGAAGAAGAGGAACTAATTGAGTGCATTTGATTATAAATGGAAAATACAGCACAGCTTTTCCCCCATGTGGCACCCCAAAGAGCTAACATTAAGGGGGTGATTACTGGTCCTTTATTATTTTCGTTTTGGTAAATCTGGTTTTCTTGCACCCCCACACCTATGTTCAAGGTTAATTCTGTGTTATTTTCTCCCTGCAGGCCTGTGCGGAGTGCCACAGGGAACAGCATTTAGCAACATCAAGCAGGAGAGGCAGAGAAAGCAGCAATAACTCCACATATGACTTGGAAATTGGCTCAGTCTCATGGCAGGAGATGTGTGTTTTTATGGTGTTAAGTGTGAAGGAGTGAAAGCAGCCAGTGATCAGGAGCGCCAACGCAGCTCCTTCCCAGGAGCCTTCCCGGCTGCTTCCCCTTTGTGGGAGATGTGCTGGAAGGAGTACTAAGAGGAGAGATACTTTGCTTTAGTAGGATGGCAGCTTTGGGAAAGATACGTGAGAGTGAGTGTGCAGAGAGCTTGGGCTGAGCGCAAGAGATAAGTGGGATGCATCGTGTCTTAGAGGCAATCAAGCAAGAGAGGATGGGGTGGCAGGCGCTTCAACTCTCTAGCCCCTCCTTCCAGGGCAGAGCCATTTTAGAGACCCACGCCTTTTCCCATCCATAGGCTGCTGAAGCCAGAAACAGCCCAGCACTTAAGAGGGGAGCAGACAATTACATCACCGGTCTGGGCAGTATCTTCTCAGCCTAAACCATTATTTCCTCCCTTCTTTAAACAAAGACTCCTAGTTTCCCCACCCAATATCCAGTCTCCATTTTCTTCCTAACTGAATGTTGACTTCTTCCCCCTGGGGAACAAGATATCAAGGAAAATGATGCACCTTGTTTGCCTCCCTTGCAAGTGGGCCTGGCTCATCCATCAGAGGTAAGCAGAAGTCATCAGGTGGAACTTCCAGGCAAGTCCTTCAATGAAGCTGACTCAGCTGGGGGATGCTTTTTCTCTTTCTTCTTCTTTCTGCCTAATATGTGGACATGTGTTCGGATCTTGAGGCAAATTCGATGACAGAATCACATCCTAGAGGTAATAAAGCAGACAGTTAGGAGGACACTGGTACCTGATGACTGCTATATCTGCCTACGACTGGATTTCAGTGTAAGAAGCCACTTGTTTGAATTTTCTGTGCATGCAGGGAACTCCATTCTAAGTGCTATATCTCTTGCCTATGCTGCCTATATTAGGTAGGGAAAGTAAATTTATCTGCTGTAACAAACAACTTCCAAATCTTAGTAGCTTAACCCAACAAAAGTTTGTTATTTATGTTGAGAAAAATGCATACATAACTGGTTGGCTAGCAGCTTCCCTGGGACCCAGGGACACGTGGTCCTTCTGTCTGTGTCTCTACTGAACCATATGCCCTTCACATCTTCTATGTGGCAGCAGCTGGAGAAAGTAAGCAGGACTAGCACATGAGTGGTTTTATGGGCCATGCTCCGATGAGGCATAGTCAGCGTTCACTGAGATTTCATTGACTAAAATTCAGTCACATGGTCACAGAGGGTGCTGGGAAGTGTAGTTTGGGTACATGCTCAGGAGGAAAAGGAAATTAATTTTGGTGAATACATCATAGTTTGCCAACCACACCTAGAAAAAAAGGAAGAGGAAAGGAAAACAAAGGAAGGAAAAAGAAAGAGAGAGGAAGGAAAGAATGAAGGAAGAAAAGAAGGAAAAAAGGAAAGAAAGAAGCAAAAAGAAAATAAAGAGAAAGAAAAGGAAAGAAAAAAAGAGAAAAAGCCAGCAAATGCTCAATTGTTCTCTAGAGGTAATTAAAGCATGTTTTCTGAGGCCCAGAATATGTCAATTGGTAGAAGAATGGAATCAATGAATGTCATTGATTCCAAATGGATTTATGTGTTACCCGGCGTTCCCTTCCTTCAGAAGGGTGTTGTTCAGCACCTCCATGTACAGAACACTGTGGCTACAATTCACTGGGGATGAGGGGAAGGCTCTCTATGAAAGCCAGTGTGGATTCACACCCCAGCAGAGGCCAGACTAGTGGACACTATTCTGTTCAGGAAGGCTAGTGGCCCAGGAGCTAGATAGATCTTGGCCAGAATCTGGGTTCTTTGTTGTAACCCAACCTGAGGCTTACCCTGAGCAGGCAACTCCCCTTTTAGGGGCTTTATTTTCTCTATTTCCTGATTTGTAAAGTAGGAATAATAATAACTGCCCTATGCGTGTCCCTCTCTCATTAGGAGTAAGTAACGTAATAAAGCTCTTGGCCCAGAGTAGAGGCTCAGTAATTGCCAACTGTCGTTCTCACCTACTTCGGCCTTCTCTTTAGTTGGCCTCTTGTTGCCTATGGAGCAAAACGTCACAGCCTGGTGAATGAGACCGTTCTCTCTCTGGTTCTACCTATATTTCCAGCCTCATCTCCTACCACATTGTTCGTTTATAGTTCTGCTTCACACCTGAACTTCTACTGTTCCCTAGGCCTGCCAGGCCCTTCTGACCTGCCAGGCCAGTTCTGCAACCTGACGCCTCTGTTCCTGTTGCTCCCTTTACTTCTAATGTGGGGTCTCTCGTTCTTGGCACTACTGCTGACATTTTGGCCCAGGTCATTGCTGAGGAACTGTTCTGTGCATTCTAGGATGTTTAACAGCATCTCTGACCTCTACCTACTAGAAGCCAGTAGCACTCTCCTGCCCATAGTCATGACAACCAAAAATGTCTCCAGACATTGCCAAATGCCCCTGGGGGCACAATCACTGCCTGTTGAGGACCCCTGTTCTAATGTCTTGCACTCCCTTGTCTGGAAGGTACTAAGAAGAGAGATGCTTTGCTTTAGTAGGAGGGCAGCTTTGGGAAAGAGCCTACACATATTTGAATCCGTAACTATAATGTCAGTCCCCACTGTAAAACTTCCCCTGTCTTCTCCAAAAATAACCAAATATGAATCGCCTTGTCCTCTGTGGCTTCATGGCGTTTCATTTGTTTTTTGTTTGTTTGTTTGTTTAGCATTTACTTCTCTTGTTCTCATTTATCTGTCCACTAGACTTGCTGCTATCTTGTTCATCTCTTTATCCTCAGTATCTAGCATAGTTTCCAGATGCTTTTTCTAAATCACAAAGTAAATTAAAAAATATTTAAAGTTAAATGAATAAATTAATGACTGCTGAGTAAATAAATGCCTTCTCAAAAGACAGATTGCTGTTTACGATTAATTTGAACAGTGGAGCTACTGTCTGATTAAAATGAAAGCTGAAAGTATGAGTGCTGCTGAGCGCTTGGGTGGGTTCAAGGAGCCATAGAACTCAGGAGGTGTGCTTTGTCCGTAACATCTGGATTCCAGGAGGCGATGGAAAGAAGCTTGGGAAGTTAGAAAGGAGGGAGGGTTGGGATGACCATCGGGCTTGAAAAAGATCTGCTAGGAAATCTGGGGAAACTTCAACTGCTTTGGGGAAACAAAGCACAAGGGTATGAAATGGTGAAGCAGGTGACAGACAAGGTCCAAATGAACCACTTGGGGCAGGGCTAATAAGGGAGTTCAAAGACGGGTGTCAATCACGACTAGAGAAGAAAGGGCTTCTGGTCAGAGGCCTCCCTCCCTCTTTGACCACATCTATTACCATGACAACACACTTCCCGCAAGGGCTCCAGTCCAGCCCAGCTGGCCTCCTTGCTGTTTCTCCACACCTGCTGTGCTCCCACCTCAGGGTCTTTATGCAAAGAGACCCTGGTCTCCTGCTTATCTTGCTCCCTCATTTTATTCAGATTTCTGCTCAGATCTCAAGCCCTCTGACCTCTAGCTCTACAATATTATCCCTCTCTACCCCTTACCCATATTTATTTTTACTCATAGCATTAAATATTTAACTGCCTATGATCTACCTCCTAATTGAATGTGAGTTACATGAGGACAGAGATTTTTTTTTTTTTCCACTGCTGTATCTTTGATGCCTGAAGCAGTGCCTGGCGTACAGTAAGTGCTCCACAGGTATTTGCTGAATGAATAAATAGATGCCTGATTGGAGGGAGTCTGGTTTCAGCTGGCCTTGAAAGAGCGGAAGAAGAGGTGGATGTGGAGCCAGCCAGTGAATGGGGATGGAGGAGGCTGCAGATTCAGTGCCCTTTCCAGTGGTGGCCCCTACTCATCCCCTCTTACAGTGTGCCAGGGAACCAGGATGCCTTCCTCAAAAGCTGGCAGGAAGAAGGGAGGGCAGAAGGATTCGCATTTGGCCTGCTTCTTCTGCTAAGGCAGACGTGTTAGAAAAGATAATTGCAAAATATCAAGTGCCATGGAAACACTTATTAATACCAGGGGCTGGTGCTTCGATGGAGCCGGAGGCTTGCTCTGGCTCCAATGAACAGCCAGCAGTTCTGAAGCTCATCCAAAGTACTTGGTTTCTTGGACCCAAAATCACAATGCTCAGTACACAGTGATTTAGTGCCTTCTGTCAGAGCTTCTCAGAGCATGTCACCAGCACTCACCCTGCCCACGTCCTCGGGAGGAGGTGGCACTGAGCAGCGGGTGCGCGGTCCAGTTTGTTTGTGACTAATGTGTTTTTGGAATCTTATACCCCCTCTTCGGCTACCCAGTTTTCCTTTTGCTTTGCGTGTCTCTGAGCTGTCCGTTTATTCTTCACAGCCAGGAATAATAACCTCTCTAACCTCCAGCATCAAAAACCTGCTCCCCAGCCAGTTGTTTTAGAGGCTCACAGCCTCAATGGGGTATACAAGGAGGGTATGGGATGGAGCTATAGGGATACTCTGTCTCTGTGTTGCCCACAGGAGGAATCTGAGTGGTAGCTTCCCTAATCCCATGACTCAGTTAGGGACAGAGGAAGGAGAAGGGAACAAGGAGACACACTGGGAGTTCGGTTTGCTCCTGGGTGGTGCTATGTGGGATCCATACACACTTACTCCATTTCCGGGTAGGCTGAGCTTCTCTGAGTGGAACAGCAGAGGGGCTGGCACGTGGGAGACAGAGATGGGTAGGTGATGCCATGGGATGCCAGAAATAGGAAACACTCAGGACAGCCGTGAGTCACACCAGCCTCTCACATTTTTCCCTAAGTGTGGGGAGGGGAGGCAAGTTCATGTAGACTGTGCACTCAGAAAGCAGAAATATCTAAATATCTTAGCCATTCCCCAAGGATGCTGGTTTCTCTTAAGGTAATCCCTGTGTTTTCTTGATTTGATGGTTCAGGAGTGAGCAAATCTGTTGTCTTGCATGAAAACATTTTAGAGTCCCATAATGGGTACATCTTTCCTCCTTCATAGCCATTCTTGTTTTCAAAAAATTTTCTTAATCACATCATATTTTCTCTAGCTGACTTTATTGTAAGAATGTAGTATATAACACATATAACATACAAAATGTGTGTATGCCAGTGCTGTGGGCCAGTGCTGGCTGAGAGGTAGCACTGTTATAATTCTTTTCTTCATCTTGGTTTTAATTTTAGAGGCCAAAGTCATGTGCTTATGTTATTAGTAAGGCTTCCGGTCAGTAGTATCCTATTAGCAGCGAAGTGTTAGGAAAGTCAAGTTATAAGTGAATTGTTGACTGAGCAGGGATTCAATGCACCTAACTCCCATATTGTTCAAGGGCTATTGTGATTCCTTTTGTTTTTTCTTTCAGGATGCCCTCAATGTTTATAATAACCAGAATTTGCCTGTTAAAAAATTAGGCAGCTTTGGAGACAGAAGCATATGATGTGATTTGTCTTATACCTTGCACCATTTATTTTTATTATTTTTTATTTTTAAAGATTTAGTGACTACAAGTGCAGTCTCCTTGCGTGGATATATTGCATGGGCTTTTAGTGTAACCATCACCCAAATCGTGTACATTTTACTCAATAGGTAATTTTTCATCCCTCACCTGCTTCCCGCCTCAAATCCATTCTAAGCATATGTGAACCATC